TTCTGTATTTACCTAGACGTCTAAACGTTTATCCTCTCTAGCAGTAACCTTTCATGTTTAATGAATGAATCTGCATTGCAGGGTTGGGTTGTTGTTTTTTTTTTTTTGTTTTGTTTTGTTTTGTTTTGTTTTTTTTCTCCTTTCCATGTGCCGGCTAGTTTTAAATCTGCAAGCACCACAAAGAGGCCGTGATCCCATCTGCCTATGATTCCAAATTAAAGTTCAAACGGATGGCTTACACACTGCTGATCCTGTATCATAGCCTCTCGCGACCCTTCAATTACTATTTAATAGAATTACAGTGTAAAATCCCAATAGTCTTAAAGAATGTTTTATCACAGACTGAAGAGAGAGAATATACAGACACCTCCGATGTTATTGAACTGTATTACTGACCTATTTAGATATTAAAGGGGAATATTTAGTGTTCTACAAGATATTACAAGAGCTACTTTAATCTGAAAACATGCATATGTCTACATATATGTGTGTCCACATATATATGCGAGTGTGTGTGGACATTATATACATCAACTCCATCCCATCAGCGAGTGCCCACAGCCACGCTGCGTGGACATGTGTGCTCACCCATGTACACACCCCCACGCAAACACACGCACTCCTCCGGGCCCATGTAGAAATCAGTGTGTTCTGGTAAACCACAGCACTACTTTGTTGTTGTCAGATATTGCTAGGTTATTCCAGTAGGAAAGCAATTTTTCCTCCACTCATTGAAAAATATTCTTTAATTGACCTTATTATTAAATGAACTTCCCTTAATGATGTTTCTATGGGGACAAAAAAAAAAGTAAATATTTGCAGTAGAGCTAAATCTCTCTCTAATAACTAGGACTGGAATTAAAGTCAGTCGCAGTCCGTCTTTAGATACTGTAAATCTTGACTTCCAGTGTAGTTTTCTTCTTTCTTTTTCGACCTGTTCGGCAAAGGACCTGCATGCCGCAGGGAGAGCCGATCCTGCCACTTCATCTTGCTTACAGGGAGGTGATTCTAACCACACGCTTCCAGATATTTACATCTACCCTTTCTCTATTCATTACTCTTTTGCATATTTCTTCTCTCGCAGATCCCGAGGAGCTGAGCCGCTTTGAAACCTCCTGGTCTGAAAACACCTTGCTTCCAAAATAAAAAAGAACAGTGCCGAAAACAAAACCTCGCAGCCATTCCTCCCCCAGACACAGCCACACAAATCCCTTTAGTATCATTTAATCATAGCTATATCCCGACAGCCCCTGCTTTTTGTCATTACCGTGCCAGAAGAGAATATTTAGCTCGGTCGTCGGTCATATCCTTAGTGTTTTTTCTTCCCAACTCTTTTTCTTCCCCTTTTCCCCCCGTTCCTCCGCTTCCCTGCCTTCATCCCTTGGTCATTTGCAACTGGACGGTTTGGTTAATTTCCCCCTTTTTTATACACCATTTGCAAACTTCTGTGTATCAGGGCTCTCTGCAGGGTGGTGATGTGGCTACAGGCCACGGGTGCCCTCTGCAATTTGGCCTCAAGCGTGTATGCGTGCGTGCGCGTGTGTCGGTCTGCACACCCGTGTGCGTGTGCCTGTGTGCTCTAGAAAAAGTCAATGTTTGTCTATCCTCTTCCTACACGCGGAATCCAGGCCAGTGCGATGTGGAGCTCAATAAGAAACTGCATGAATAGACACGAATAGAAAGTTGTGCTCAGCTAACCGAAGAAATCAGAGCAATACCAGGGCACCAACGTCCACATTTCTTTTCACTTCGGGCCGGGGCACTAACCTCATCTGGGTATCCTAAAAATTAAGGGCAACGGGCAAAGAGATTCAGGTCCCCCAAAAGGCGGCTGTAATCGATCGGGCAGAGGGAGCCGGGGACGATCGAAGCCCCACGCCTGACCGCGGAGGGGCAGGCAGCCGCCGCGGCCCTGCCCGCACACAAAGGACACCCGGCCACGCTAAAGGGCTCGGGCCGGCCCTCGGGCAGCGACAAGGAGGGGGGAAGGAGGCAGGCAGGTGACTTCGGTGGTCTCCAGACCCCCACGCCGGGGTGCACGCACACCGGTGGAGCCGCAACCCGGAGCTGGTTGGGGATGAAGGCAGAGGGTACAGCCCCCAGGGCGAGGGGATGGGCAGCGGGGGGCGGAGGGGGGGGCTGGGTGGGTAACGATCGTCTCCAAATTGCTCCCGGAACTGGCTGGTCTCGACCCGACTTCCGACGGGCGGGGCGGGGCCGGGCCGAGCCCCCGCAGCCGCCGGCGGGAGGCGGCGGTGAGGGCCGGGGCGGCGGGGCCGGCTCCCCGGGAGGCAGCCCGGTGTGCCGCCGGGCTCCGGCCAGCTGGCTCCCGGCCGCCGGCTTTCGCTTCAGTATTGATCAAACGCACTCCAGCTTCCGAGTAATTTCATCTTAATCAACGGCCGAGCTCGGCGCGGATAATAAACTAATGCTGGAGAGAAGCTGTCGATAATGCTCGGCCAGGGGCAGGGAGGAGGCAGCCCCCCAGTTTGGCGGGGCTCGATAGGCCCTATCTTCCCCGGGCAGATGGACTTAGTGGGTGAGAAGGCTTAAACGCAGCTTTTCATAGATTTACACCTCAATCAGCCATTCAGGTTTTTAATGCAAATCCTAAAACAACATCATTTATCCATTACGGAGCCCGGCTTTGAAACGGCATATCATTAGCTGCACCCTTGGCACCCCAAAACCGCGCAGGCACCTGCGCCCCCCTGGATGCATCTTGTGTCCACCCCCCCGGCCGCCCTGCACAAAGGCCCGTGGGCTCCGTCGAGAGGTGCGCACCCCCCGTGGGGCCGGGACAGCTTGGGGTAACTTTTCGTGGATGGGGGGGGTGGCAAACGGTGTAGGAGCAAGGGCTCTGCCTGGGAGGCTGCAGGGGAGGGAGGCTGGAGCCCAAGGCCAGGTACGAGTGGAGTGAGGCTGAAGGCGATCCATGACCTCCCCTCACTGCCACGGCACGACGGGGCGATCCTCCAGAGTCTTAATCAGAAGGAATCAAAATCCGAACCTATCACTGCAAGGCTCAGCTGAGGTAGATTATTGCTACCGGCTTGACGCCTTCTAGCTGCAGCTTCGAGACGTGAAAATTAAGGAAAAGAAAGGAAGACAAAAAAACCCACAGAAATCCCAAACTTTCACGCCTCTGAATCCTTTCATGTATTAAATCCCGTTAAAAATAAAGCAGCATGAGAACGGCTACCAGAGAGAAGCAGAAATAGTTCACTTAAAAACAACGTACCGACATCGAAGACCTCCTTCCTCCCCAAACCCGGGGGTGAGTGGAAGGGCCGAGATTTTTCCCTATAAAGGCCTCTCGGCTGCCTCACTGCCGGGGGGGGGGAGGGGGGGGGGCGGCGAGGGGGGAGAAAGAGCAGCCCGAGCTCAAGCATGAGACCCCTGCGAGGGTGCCGGCCACTGAGGAGCCTGTTATCCCCTCCTGGGTGAGAAATATTCTCCCCTCTGGGTGAGAAATATTCTCCCGCATGGGGGAAGGGAAGAACTAGGTCCATCACACGACCCACGCAGAACACGGGAGCCCTAGTGTGTGTATTTCCCCCTCCCCTGCCCCAGGCATTTCCCATCCTTTCCGGTTTCGTACAACCGGGCCTTATTTTCTTTTAACTCCCCACTCGTGTTGGCGCCGGGGCAGTGACGCCGCCGGAGCTGCCCGTGGGCAGACCCCGCCGCGGATCCGCGAGTTGAGCGAAGCCCCTGGGGCAGGGGAGGCGAACCCCGACGGGGCGGGCGCTGACTCAGGCCGTCCGTGTCCTTCCCCACCGTGGCTCCCACGGGGAAATGGAGAAAAAAAATCCTCCCATGCACACCACTACGCGGGTCTCCACGGTTCGCGGGAGATCAGCGGCCCAGCGCGGAAACCCTTTCCTGCCTGGGCCAGGGAGGTCTCACGGCGGGGGGGACACACACACACACGCGTCCTCTACATGCTCGCTGCGCACACATGCACGGCTTTTCCTCAGGGGCATCAAAGGTGTATGAACGTATTGGCACATCAGCTTATTCCTTAAAATTACCCACTAGTGGCTTGCTCTAAGATCTCACACCCTAGGGGGTTCTCCGAGTTCCCCAGGGAGCCTCTTGGGGCGGGGGGATGCCAGGGGAAGCCCCAGGCGCTTCCTAAGGCTTTCTGTAAACCCAGCGCGGACTTCCCCAAAACAGGGGAGGAGGGAAGAGGGAGACAGGACTCGGGCAGCACAGAGGTAGATCGGAAGTCCAAATTAGTTTGGAAATGGTCAAGAAATTCCAGGCACATTTCTCTCTAAATCCCTGGTAAGTTTCAAAATTGTATTTTCAAGTAAAAACAAGTTTAGAATTTACCTCTCGTTAATTCACGGCTGAATAATCTGCCCAGGGCAAAGCAAAACTTTAATGAAAAAGTAAAAAAAAAAAAAAAAAAAAAAAAAAAGAAGGAAGAAAGAAAAAGGAGAGAGAGAGGAAAAAAAAAAAAAAAAGATGCTGAAATACTGTTAGTCATGCAAATAAAGACTTCTTTCAGCACATTACAATATACTCCGGATTCTAGGGGAGGAGCTGCAGCCCGCTTAGGGCGAGGAGTTTATGTTTTTGTTTTCATTTAAAGCTACAAAACAAATCCCGAAATGCCTTAACCGCTCTCCGGAGACACCCGGCCCTGCAGACAGGCAGCCCGGGGAAGCTTTTCAGCTCAGAGTGCACAAAAAAAGGACCGGGAAGGGGGGGAAACGCTGGAGCCCGCGGTGGCGGAGGAGCCCCGGGGGGACGCGGCCGTGACCCACGGCCCGGTGTCCCCGCCGCCGGCCGCAGCCTTCCTCGCAGGGCCGCCTCGTCCCCCCCAAATCCCTCCGGGGTGTCCCGCCGAGCCGGGGGAGGAAGGCGGGGGCCGGCGGGGGCAGCGCAGCGCTGAGCGCCCCGCGGAGCCGCGGCGGGGCAGGGCGCAGGGCGAGACGCCCACGGGGAGAGCGTGTTTTTCCGTGGCGGACACAAACACCAACATCGCTGGATAGATAAGAAAATGGAATACTGTATTTCATTTAGAAAGTTTGTACATATAGATAAACACGCAGTTAAGGAAACAATAGTTTAAGCGTCCTACGTGGAGTTTAAGAAGAGAACCCCCAAAGCTGCTATGAAATACTCAAAATAGCTTTTGCATAAGATAACTACAGTTGCACCCTAAGCTTTTTTTTTTCCTTTTTCTTTTTTTTTTTTTTTTCTATCGCTGAGGTCCCTTTTGAAAACCTAGCACGTCAGATCTTGACAGCTAAGTTTGTGCAAGGAACACCGAGTCAAGGAAAATAAAAAGGAGAGAGAGAGGGTGGGAGGGAGATAGACAGAGAGGGGGGAGGAAGAAAGAAAGAGTAGAGCAAATATCATATACAAGCATTTCTACACATATATTACAAACTGGGAAAATGACCGCATCATTAAGATATACATAATTCATATAAAATTTTGAAATAAAAATAAAAATCTGTTACAGTCATAACTATTCTTTTTCCACATTTATAACCAGTACCCACACAGGCAGTGACAGAAGTGTAGAAAAAAAGGTGCTTACGAATAAAATGATTGTCTGCTGAACAAAAAAACAGAAAATTGCATCTTGGCTGGACCATCACTTGGACTTAAAGAAAAACAAAACAAAACAAAACAAAACAAAACAAAAAACAGAGAGAAAGGGAGAGGGATATATAGAGAGAAATAGGACCAACAAAAAGGCGATAAACATTTGTTATTTCCCTCTTCAAGGAGTTCCTTTTTAATATTTTTTTTTTATTTTTGAGTTTTGTACAAATTCGATCGGAGTTTGCGTTTGTTTGTCTGGTTTCTGTTTGTTTTCCTTTACTATAGAGAATATTTTTTCCCAGATACAAATTTAATCATCATCATCATGCAAGTGGGTGAAATGCGTCCATGGAAAAGCGCAAAGGAGAAATCGTGCTTGTCCTAAAAAGAATACAATTGTCACTTTTGCTTTGTTTTTTTTTTTTTCTTTTTTTTTCTTTTTATATATATAATAATTATTATTTCCCGCCCCCCCCACCCCCCCCCGCTGCAGCACCAGCGTTTGTGACTGTTGAAGTTTTAGCTCCATCTCTTGGTGGTGGTGTTGGCTGACGGTGGTGGTGGTGGATTCTCTGATCCCTGTCTGTTTGTTTGCTACTATGTTTGGGTCGGGTTTGGCCTTTTCTTTCCTCCTGGCTGTGTGTGTGCGTGCATGCGTGTGTGTGTCCTGATTCTAGGTTGCCTCGGTTTGTTTTGCTCGGGTCGGGGAGAGGGTGCTTGGCTGTTTGGATTTGGGTTTTATTTTTTTTTTTATTATTATTTATTATTTGTTTGTTTGTTTGTTTTCCGATATCATACATCACATTCCGAGTCGCTGGAGGTTACCGAGAGGATGGAGGTGCCCGTCTCGGCTCTTTCTGTCAAACTGGAGACGCTGGTGGTCGGGCTGGCCGCCGTGGACGGAGACTCGGCCGAGCTGTGTGTCGGGCAGCCGGGCTCTGCCAGCGACCGCATGCCGCTCTGTCCTATCGCCTGGTGCTGGAGCCTGCAGCGCGCCGGGAGACAAAACAACAGCACAGCCGCTCTGAGACACCGGCCGCCGCCGCCGAGGGGACGGCGCCCGCCCCACCCCGAGCCCGCCCGGCGACGGCCGCGGCCCCGGCCCGGTGCGGAGCGGTGCGGAGCGGTGCGGAGCGGTGCGGAGCGGACCCCTCCCGCGCCAGGCCTGGCCCGGCCCCGCCGCCTTCCCGCGGAGCCCCGCGGAGCCCGGCAGCGGTAGGGCCAAGCCGTGCGCCCCCGGGGCTTCCCCACGCCGCCGGGGCCGGCCGCCTCGGGGGGCAGGGCACCCGCCGGGACGCGGTTTGAAAGGGGACGGGGAGGCGGCGGGGGTGTGTGTTGGGGGGGGTGGGGGGGGGTGGGGGTGGGAAGAGGTTCCCTGCCCCGTGGTTTGAAGACCGGGAGCGGCGGCTTCGCTCTGCCCGGACAGCCGTTCATCCCCGCAGCACCGCGGGCCTAGGAGAAACCCGTGTCCGTGTGAGCTGCTCAGGCACTTGGCCGCCGAGAAAAGCTGCAAGGGCCCGTCTGCAGCGGGAAAGGATCGTACAGGATCCCCAGTTTGTGCTCCAGATAATATCTGTCTACAAATTCTCCAGCGGACAGATAAATACTCTGGGCTCTGCGGCAGGACTGGAGGAAAGTCCTGTCCCGGGGACGCAGCGCTACCAGTAAAATAGAAAAAAAAAAAAAAAAAGGCGATGGTGGAACACAGCGATTCTCTCGGCTCGAAATTTAAGTCCCTGCTCCATCTGAAAGCCAAAATTATCTTTAAAGTGCTGGTCCTTTCTCCGTCAACACTTAAGGGTACATTGACGTTCGACTTTTTTTTTTTTTTTGTAAGAAGCAATCAATGTTTTTCAGGTTCCCTAGAGTGTTATGAATATTTCTATGCGCTCGTTTATTCTGCTCGCAACCCAAAGAAAGCCTGACTCGACGATAAGGGCTAAAAGTCTTGGGCTAAGCAGACAGCCACAACCTCTAGCGCCTAACACTGCCAGTGTGAAACAAAATACATACTTCGCTCAACTGCTTCTCACCAGGGTATCTTCTATTTAACTGCCTGCAAAGAACAGAAAAATGTAGCCCGCTTATTCTACATTTCTCGTTATTTTAAGTTGTCTAATTTCAGCGTCTTTGATTTTTCTCCCATTTACAATTCCTGGTGCATTCATCTGCTGTCAACAGCGTTGAGTCAACAAAAGCATCCGTAGGCAACTTCTGTTTATTTACAATCCTAAACTGATCTGTTTTCCATTTAATGGAAATTAAATGGCTAGGCACTTTTAGGTTGCATTTCTCCTACAGAATCTTGAATCAATAGCACCAGTGCTATAATTAGGAGGAATTTAAGAGACAGCATTTACAAGAACAAGAAGTTTTGTTTACACGCTTACAGCGGTAGCCAAACTTAAATTAAAATTAAAACAGTTTGTCAAACTGGATTAAGGGTCCATTTTCTTTTGCAAAATAACTTTTACGGAGGGTAACGAGAGAAAAAAAAAAAAAAAAAAAAAAAAAAAAAAGAGTGCCTCGCTTTTATAATGGCAAAGCAGAAATTAAAAATAATATATATATATATTAAAAAAAAAAAAAAAAAAAGACACCGAGAGACACGCAAATAAATACAAGAGTAAATGCACAGTAAACACACGACCAGATCGCCATGTGGTGTAAACAGAGAAATGGGGATGGGGATAAAAAGAGGTTTCCCGACCTCCGAAAGGCTTTTCTCCCTTTTCCTGCCCGATCCAAAGGGCACCGGGTGTGCGTGTGCGTGTGCAGGTCCCGCCGCGCCCGCAGAGGAGCACGAACAATCGGAGCGGAGCCGCCCGCCCTGCAGAAACCCGCGTGGGCTCCCGCCGCCCGCCTCGGCCCTTCGGCGGGGAGCCGCGCCGCAGCCCGGCCAGGCGCAGAGCCCGGCCAGCCGAAAGTAAACCCGAGCCCGCCGACCCGGGGCCGTGAGCTTTCCCACGCGGAAAGCGGCAGCCGCGGCGGGGAGGGAGGCAGGGAGAGCCGGGCGCTGCCCCCGCCACGGCCCCTACGCCCCGCGCCCGCCCGGAGCTGCCCACGCCCGCGGGTGAACTCCAGCCCTGCCCGCACCCCGGGAGCCCGTGGGGAGCCCGGGCAGGGATCGGGGAGCGCCAGGCAACTTTAAGCCGCTCCTGCCCCCCGTCGCACCCCTGCGGCTGCCGGGGGGAGACCTACCCGCCCGGCGAGGGGACCGGTTTCTCCCGGTGGCGGTGATGGAGGAGGAGAAGGGGGAGGAGGAGGAGGAAAGCAGAGGCAGAGGCGCGCTGCCGGCCGCCGAGCCGAGCCGAGCCGAGCCGAGCCGAGCCGCGGCGCGGAGCGGAGCGCGGCCGCCCGCGGGGCCCCGCCGCCCGCCTCGCTCCCCGGCCCCGAGCGGGGCCCCGCAGCCCCACTGACCTGTTTTTAGCCGCCGCTGCTCTGTCTCTTTGCCTTCGGTTTTTGAACCAGTTGCCTACTTGCGTGGGGGTGAGCCCCGTGGCCTGAGCCAGTTCCCTTTTCTTGCTGGGGTTGGGGTAAGGGTCCTGCAGGTACCACTCCCTCAGGAGGCTGCGAGTCCTCTCCTTGAAGCAGTGCGTCTTCTGCTCGCCATCCCAAATGGTCCTGGGCAGCGGAAACTTCTTCCTCACCCTGTATTTATCAACCGGCCCCAGCGGGCGACCCCTTAGCTTCTCGGCCTCCTGGTAGTGCGCTTCGAGCCACATGGCCTGCAACTTGCCGTGGGACTCCTTGGTGAATTTGTGGTTCTCCAGGATGTGGTAGAGGTCTCGGAAGTTGCCCGTGTGGAAGGCCACCACCGCCCGGGCGCGGAGGATGGACTCGTGCTTGTTGATGGCCTCGCATGCCCCCGGCGCCACCGGCAGCGACCAGAGGAACCTCCCCAGCCTCTCTATGTCTCCAGTCTCCTCCAGCGTCTCGCAGACGCTGGCCACTTGCTCCGGGGAGAAGTTGAGTGTGGGCAGCTGAAACATTGACAACTCTTCGTGGGGTGCCCGGGAGCTGCCGCCTCCACCGCTGCCGGCCCCGGGGCTGCAGCCCGAGCCGCTGCCGCTGCCGCCGCCGCCGCTGGCGAGAAGGAGGGAGCGGTGGTGCGGGTCGGCGGCGAAGTTTGGCAAGAAGAAATGGGTGGGATAAAGCTCTAGCGGGGACCTGAACACCATGGGATGACCGGGGAGAGGGGGAGATAAGTCAAGGAGAAAAGAAAGAAAGGGAGGAAGAAGGGAGGAAAGGGCACACGCACCGCGCACGCATCCACACCCGCACACGCACACACAGCCACATAGAGGCACGGGGGCACACACACACTCACACGCACACGCGGACACACGCACACGCGCTCACGCACACGCACACGGGCACACGCACTCACACACACCCGGCCCCGCGCCGCCGCCGAGTCAGGATTCAGTGATTCAACAGCAATCGCCCTAATGACAACAGCCTCATAATATCTCCCCTAAATCCACAGTGAGTGCAGCGCTGAAACATTTTGTTTCGCTTTTCTATTGGTCTTCTGAGTGTCGTTGTGGCGTTGCCATGGCAGCCCCTGCCAATCACTGTCAGCCCTGCCAATCATTACGGAGTACGTAAGGAAGGTTTTTACCACTTCGCCCAAATGCACGGGGGGGGAGGGAAGCAGGGCGGTTGGTGGAAAAGCCTGGTTGTTTTTTGTTGGTTTTTTTTTTTTTTCTTTTTTTTTTTTCTTAATCTTTGCAACTCCTAATCTCGGCACTTCCCCTTCTCCCCGTCTCTCCCCCCTCCCTCTCCACACCCCTCCTAAATAAGGGATCAAATAATGCGAAAAGCAGTGTGCACATATTTGTTGAATGGGATGAGCAATTAGAGGGTGGAATATTATTGTGATCTTAACGAGCCTCGTTAAAGCTAAAGGAGATATGGGGGGAAAGTAAATGGGCCAGGCTGGGATACACGTTCGGATAAAGGGCTCCTAACTGAGACAATTTACACATGATTTGCACGTAGTTTCACTTCATTCTGCCTATCTGAGCACTAATAGTGCCGGGGAAGAAAAGAAAGATGAGATCATTAGACCCATCCTCACGCCGGTGACCCTCCCAGAAGCAGGCACATACAGTACAGGCAGGGTTTAGCCCTGCTTCCCCGAGGAGTCTCTCTCCTCTCCTCCCCTCTCCCGCTCCCGGCCCCTCTCCGCGGAAGGAGGGATCCGCTGCCCGCGGAGTTCCGCCGAGAGCCGCGCAAGGCGCCCAGCCCGAACCCTCTGCGCTCGCCCAGGCTCCACTCCCCGGCTCCGCTCCCCGGCTCCGCGCCCGGCTCCGCTCCCCGGCTCCGCGCCCGGCTCCGCGCCCCGGCTCCGCGCCCCGGCTCCGCGCCCGGCTCCGCGCCCGGCTCCGCGCCCGGCTCCGCGCCCCGGCTCCGGCGGCGCCCCGCTCGCTGCCTCCCCCGTCCCACGCCTGGCTTCGCCCGCCCTCCCGCTCCTTCTCGCCTTCCCTTTCCCTGTCCTTTCTCTTCCCTCTCTCCACTTTGTTTTTATTTCATTCCGGCTTTCCCCCTCCCACTCGCCTCACCTCCTCTCGCCCCTTTCCTTTCTCCGGAGCCCGGCGACCTTGCGAGGCTGGTCCTCACCCCCAAACTCGCTGGGGCTTTACACCACACTCTCCTTTTCCCCGCGGTTTCTTTCTGCCTCGAACTTGAAGGGCTTCTGTGCGGGGAGAAGGAAAGGGAGGCGAGCAAAAGCGGGTTTGAACCCAGATTTATTTTCTTTCTCCCTTTCCCTTTTTTTTTTTTTTTTTTTTTTTAAATCGAGAGCAATGAAGATCTGTGTGGTGGTTTGAGTCCATCCCTCAGTAAGACCTATCTGGGTCGCCAGACCTTGCTACCATGCAACTATATTTATTATTAGGTATGTTGCTTTTAAGAAGATTTAATCAGCATCTTGAGCTGGTAACTCTTTTGTTTAGTTTCTGTAGCTATGGAAGTGTGATTTACAGAGATTTGTACGGGTCATGGACATCTTTCCAGACTTACTGTGTATATTTAGACAGGACTTTGCTTGGTGTTAAAAAGTGTATATTTTGAATAGGTTCACACACAGTAGCAAACAATACCGACATTGTAAAGGCATGTACAACGAGTATTGAAACGCAGCATCCAGACTTCAACTAATCTGCCCTCAATAAAGCTGAAATAATTATCCTAAGCCGCCTTTCTAGAAGAAAAATCATTGAGGAATTCAAAACTTTTTTAAAGATCTTTTCTGCATTCCGATGGAGATCGAGGGGTGAGGCTTGGAGCCCAAACTACTTTCAGACATCAATGGAGGGAAGGAGGGGGGGGAAGAGAGATATTACAATTAAAATGTGAAAACATAGCGTGACTTGCCCTATCCGAAGGATAATAATAATACTGCTATGGGTGGTAGAAGTTCTTTAGCTGGGCTCCAAACTGGTTGTGATCCTTTCACAGCGCACTCCTCGTGAAATAATTCCAAGTGGCAGATGAATAGGTCCAGTTGGAAGAGCTGCTGGACTGGAAGAAGCTCGCTGTATTACACATTCATCTGATTTCCACTAAACTGTCATCGGTGAGCTACATGGCTTCATAGTCCTAATGGAAATAACTCGCCTCTTAATTTTTAGTGATCTGCTTAAACACCTCTATTAACAGACCGGGGGAAAACTTTTTCCACCCCTCCCTACCGCCCTGGCTCCCGCTTCCAGTGGTACAACTAAGGAGGGAAAAAGACTTCTCAGCCCCTCTACAAAACGACTTGGAGGTATTAATTGAACAACAATATGTTTAGCCAAAGATTTTAATACACACATACACAAAATCTTTTTCTTTGTAATCCTTTCCTTTTATGTAAAGGATTACAGAGGGGAGGGTGGGGGGAATTCCTGCAGGAGTTTCTTAATATTTGATTCCATTTTTCTTCAAGCTGCAAATTAAACTACCTTAACATTTCCAGAATAAAATCCAAACTGGCTTTTTTTTTTTTTTTTAATCTCCCAGACAATCACATACTAGTTGTTTGCCTATAGGTTACATCCCTCTATTAGGATGCCTGATGAACCTTTCAAAGCTTCAATATACATATCCTTTTTCTTTTCTTTTCTTTTCTTTTCTTTTCTTTTCTTTTCTTTTCTTTTCTTTTCTTTTCTTTTCTTTTCTTTTCTTTTCTTTTCTTTTCTTTTCTTTTCTTTTCTTTTCTTTTCTTTTCTTTTCTTTTCTTTTCTTTTCTTTTCTTTTCTTTTCTTTTCTTTTCTTTTCTTTTCTTTTCTTTTCTTTCTTTCTTTCTTTCTTTCTTTCTTTCTTTCTTTCTTTCTTTCTTTCTTTCTTTCTTTCTTTCTTTCTTTCTTTCTTTCTTTCTTTCTTTCTTTCTTTCTTTCTTTCTTTCTTTCTTTCTTTCTTTCTTTCTTTCTTTCTTTCTTTCTTTCTTTCTTTCTTTCTTTCTTTCTTTCTTTCTTTCTTTCTTTCTTTCTTTCTTCTTGCCTCCTCTCTCTTTCTCTTTGTCCCTTCTTTCACTCTCTCGCTCTTTCTTTTCTTTTTTTTTTTTTTTTTTTTTTCCCTTTCCCAGACATATGAAACATATAGCAACTCTATTTCTGGTGAAAACCTTCCAAATTATCCTGCAGGGCATTTCCATGCATGCCTACTCTGTGTGCGCGTGTGTATCTGTGTGTTTAAAGCCGAGCAAACCCACCACCCTGATGTGCCTGCCAGATAATAGCAAGGTCTTACTGAAGCCCGCTCTCCTCTCCGCGCCCGCGGACGCCCAGCACAGGAGCTCTGCCAGCCAGAAGCTCTTGCAAGGACGGCGTCAGCATCCTAAAATGTTTGCGCCTGTTCCCGCGGCTCGCCGACGCGGGTCACCGCGGCGCGGTGGTCGTAAGCCAGAGCTCGGGGAGCGGATCCGGTGCTTGCGCAGCCCGGCCGCGGCTACAGCGCTCCCCTAAGCCTGTTAGGGACACACTATCCTGTCCTGAAATGTGCAAGCGGGTAATTGTTGGCGCGCTAGCTTTGTGTGAGGAGGCCAGGGTGTAAATGGCTTTTAATGACTGCAGCTGCTGGCTGCAAACTGTCAATGGGATCGGCTAATGCCGAGCCCGGACCCGCCGGGCGCAGCCGCCGGCCCCCGCGCAGTGCCGCGGAGCGGCGCGCACAGCGGGGCGCGGAGCCGGCGGCAGCGGGAGCGGGAGCACGGCGGCGGACGGGGCTGGGCAGCGGCTGCCCTCTCGGCTGGGAAAATCCTTTCCGGATCCTGTAAGTTTGTTACGGACGGGCGGAGGTCCCGCCGGGGAGCCCCCCGGGGGTGCGCTGCCTCGGGTGTCCCCCTCCTCTCCTCCCCCCCGCCCCCCCCCAGCCCTTCTACTCTCCCGCGCTGGGGTTCGGGGGTCCGGGGCGGTGGCAGGCGAGGTCCCCCCCCCCCGCCACCGATGGCCATCTTCTCCGGGCTGGGGAACCTGCCGCCCGTTTCCAGTCAATCTTACTTGATCCCATATGATTCATTGTTTTAGCTGCTAGAATGACATGTGGCTCTGCAGTGCAGGGGAGCAGGTCTCCCCCCTCCCCCCCAAAAAAACTCCCCCTAAATAAACCAGGAGAAGCCTGTGCTCTCTTCTGGAGGGAGCCCTGCGAAGTTGAGGGGTGGTGTGTGTGTGTGTATGTGTGTGAGTGTGTGCGGGTGTGTGTGTGTCTGTGTGTCGGGCTGCCAACCTGGAGGACTTTTACAGGGAGAGGAAGGGAATCGGAGAGGGAAGCTCCTTTATTTCACTGCTTGTTTTGATGGTCTCTCCCAGGAGGCTGCGATTTTCTGCTGCTTAGTTAGTGCCCCTTAATCCTGACTCGGGAGTGACTCAGTCGAGGCTTGCAAGGGCTGATTATTTTTTTTTTATCGGGGGAGGCAGGGGTTCAGACGGGGCTGGGGTGTAGCGGTCACGGCACCGGCGAGAGGAAAATGCAGCACCGCGGCTGCGGCGAGAGGGAAGGCGATGGGGGGAGAGAGGGACAGCCCGGGGCAGGTGAAGGAGAACCCATCGCGTTGGTCTTGTTAGGCTTTTTGTTATTATTATTACGATTTAAGTGATTTTTCTTGTCAGTCTTCAGTGGCAAGCGCTGACGATTTTTCACCGATGTTGTCTTTGCAAACACGTCTATCCTCCTTCTTCTTCCTTTCTCTCTCTTCCTCTCCCTCTCTTTTTAGTCCCGACTCCCGAGATAAATGAATGCGCATTTGATGGGTGTGTAAGATGTGGCCCATCCGGCTCCCGTAATACAGCCCCTGTTGAGGCGATGTGTGATGTACCGGCCGTGCTAAGAAACAAGTGGGCAAGTGTGTTTGTTTGTTTGTTTGTGTTTTTTTTTTTTTTTTTTTTTAACGGTGTGGATTGGTTTAAGAAGGCGAAGGGGTTATTTTATTACTGGTCCAAAACAGTACTCCAGCTTCCAAGTTAAACTTTTGGGGAGTGCCCCCCACACACTTAATTTTGTGTAAACACAGAGACTGAAGGAGGAAAACGTGAG